CTGGCTAATGTTTTCTTATGAACAAAGATATACAAGTCACCATTCATACAACATGAAGACGAATATCAACTATTGTCTTGTTTACCACGTTTTACACAGCATCACTGAGATCACACAATACTGCGAATGATGCATCCATCCCAAAAGAAAACATCAACTTTCACACAAATCAGGAAATTGCCATACTGACATTTTTAAAGTGAGTTTATTGTTCATGAATGGAGCCTGTTTGTCAGCACTGGAAAATTAAGTCCTGCATTTGTCCATAACAGGTAGGAAGCAGCAGTGCCACTCTCCCCACTGTGTCTCAACCGTGACATAGGGAGGGCCACTGGGAAGGATGAGAAAGTAGTTCTGTGTCCATGCTCTTTTGAGTCATGTGCTTCACTGATGAGGTGGTCAGTGAGGGTGCAAACAGTTGTTTTTGTGAAATGATGATCTGTCCCTAGGAAACGGGCACAGCTCATCAGCACAGAATTCATGAAGCAGCTGTTAGATGCTAATTATTTCTGGCCAACAGCAGCCTCAGTCAAGTCTGAACTAGTAATCTAGAAGGGAAAAACTCTTATTAAGATGATATTAAAAAAAAAATAGTGAACAGAGTTTGAGCATAGAAGTTTCTGGTTATCAGGGAATAACATACAGATTATAGAGGGTGCAAAGTTTGGTTTAAGATAAGGTGGCATGAGGAATACATAATCTGCAATATCCCTGATTGGGGGTAAAAGGTTGATGGGTCAAAGTACAGACATTGAGATATGAGGGTATGAAGTTCATAAAGTGGCTATGTTCGGCTGTGGATTATAATGAGTGGATATAATGATGAGGATGGATTGACCCTCATTTGGTGAGATTTAATGTTTAGGGAGTTTATGGTTCCAGTTCATATGATCCAATGGAGGTGGTCACTTGGTCCCTTTCTCGTACTGGGAGAACGATGTCACTCTGGCTCACGCCTCCTGGTACTGTCGGTGGCCAGTGATGTGCTCGATGTAGATGTCCCTGGACCATCGGATGGCGTCTGAGACCATGAGGCGCCGCATGAGATGTGCGTAGCGTTGACCGATCCCGCAGGTCCGCAGCACATGCTCGTTGCAGGGATCCCAGGCGCCCAGGGCTCCCACTGCTCTACAGCCAAAATGCTTCTGAAATAAATGTAGTCAAACTTTACTAATTCTGGGTCACTGAGAACGAAAATGATGCTTAAAATTGTTGATTGGCTCTAGTTTTCAAGATAGGCTATTGGGTCAGTATATACAACCCTTGACTTGGGAATGGCGGAGGGTAAGTGAGTTATAAAGGGAAGGGATCTCAATTTAAACCAGAAATGACTAAAATACATCTTTGACTGGATCTATGAATAAATCTATGACTGGGTTTGGACAGTACTTGCTTTTTAGGCAAAACAATGAATGATGCAATCTGAAGCTGGTATTGCGTCATACATGATATGAATTGCATCATGTTATTCCTAGAAGTCATGGATGATGCAATCATAACGAAGCTTACATCACTCTGCTGAACAAATTGCCCTATATCAGCTCTAGAAATCACACAGTGTCGTGCTCTCTTATTTGTCAGTGTTTGATTTTGCAAAGGGACACATTTCTGTTTAGCCAAAGTGAGCAGAGATGCCTCGTACTTGTGTGAACAGTGCAGATAACTTCTGCTATGTTTGTGGTGAAGTGACTTTTGCATCACAAAAGCGCAGTATAACCACTATGGTTAAGAAAGCCTATCACCTTTATTTTGGCTGCAAAATTGGAGCTCAGGACAAGAGGTGGGCCCCACACATATGCTGCAACACTTGTGCAACAAATCTTCACCAGTGGTTGAACAGGAAAAGGAAATCTATGCCTTTTGCAGTGCCAATGATTTGGAAAGAGCCAACAGATCATACCAGCAATTGTTACTTCTGCATGGTGCCTCCAGTTGGGAAAGGTGTGTCAAAGAAGAAAAAGTGGACTGTGCATTATCCAAACATTCCATCAGCTATACGCCCAGTACCCCACGGAGAAGGACTGCCAGTTCCTGATGCACCAGAATCATTCTCACTTGAGTCAGACGAGGAAGAGGAAGAGGATGAAACTTCTGGTCCTGAACCATCAATGTCACAGGACCCACATTTTCTCCCATCCTCCTCCTCTGAACCACACCTCATAACACAAGGTTAACTGAATGACCTTGTCAGGGATTTGGAACTACCCAAGAGTAAGGCAGAGCTGTTGGGCTCCAGACTACAGCAGTGGAATCTCCTGGCAGGTGATGTTAGGGTTTCCATGTTCCGTGACCATCAAAAAGATCTTGTCCTATTCTTCTTCACGGAAGGTGATCTTGTAGCCTGCAACAACATCGATGGTGTGATGGCAGCCCTCAACATCGTTCACGATCCAGATGAGTGGAGACTGTTCATTGATTCATCGAAGATGAGTCTTAAAGCTGTTTTACTGCATAATGGCAATATTTTGCCATCAATTCCAGTTGGTCATGCAGTCCATATGAAGGAAACCTATGACAACATGAAACAACTTTTGAGGTGCATAAACTATGACCAACATCAGTGGCAGCTTTGTGGCGATTTGAAGGTTGTTGCTCTCTCGCTTGGTCTGCAGACTGGATACACAAAGTACTGCTGTTTTCTCTGCGAATGGGATAGTCGTGCAAGAGATTCCCACTACATCAAGAAAGATTGGCCACTCCGACAGTCATTGGAGCCTGGGAGGAAAAGTGTTCAGCATCCACCACTTGTTGAATCAAGAAAGATTTTGTTACCACCCTTACACATCAAGCTGGGTCTGATGAAGAACTTTGTCAAGGCCATTGACAAAACACAAGCAGCTTTCAAGTACCTCCGTGGAAAATTTCCAAGGTTAAGTGAAGCTAAGATAAAGGAAGGTGTCTTTGTTGGTCCTCAGATTTGTGAACTTCTTCGAGATGATGCATTTGACCATGCACTGGGTGGCAAGGAAAAGACGGCATGGAAAGCCTTCCAGTTAGTGGCAATAAATTTTCTCGGAAACAACAAGGCAGACAACTACAGGTTGTTGGTGGAAAACCTCCTCAAGGCATACAAAAGCCTTGGTTGCAACGTGTCACTAAAGATACATTTTTTGCACTCTCATTTAGATTTTTTTCCACCGAACTGCGGAGCAGTGAGCGACAAGCACGGCGAGCGATTTCACCAAGACATTGCAACAATGGAGAAAAGCTACCAGGGCAAATGGAGCCCATCAATGCTTGCAGACTATTGCTGGACATTGATAAGAGATGCTCCATTTAATGAATACAAGAGACAAGCCAAGAAGCGCCGAGTAGACACTGACTAGGACTAAACTATGTACATAATAGTTTTTTGCCTTTTGTTTCATAATAAATTTTATTTATATAACCCTTTTGCTGATTTTTAAAGTGTTACATAAACAGGACAGGTGAAATATTATCATGTAAAGCAACCATAAACACATGAAAAGACTAGGTTTACAATTTATGATTAAAACTCTACTATCTACACAATATACACAGACATAAAATGTAAAAACTTAAATATCTTAGAAACAGCAGCCAATCAGTTGTTTTAATTGTCATATTTGAATTCAGCACATCAGAATACATAATAAATAGCACATTTTATCTCTGAAGCAGACGACTTCTCAAAAATTGTAGACCAGTGCAGGGCGTCCATCTGCACCTCATAGCCCTTTGCTCTCAGGGTGTCAGCCAGGGGGGTGTACTTTTCCAGCTTACAAGCTCGGGCTTCGCAAAATGCCGGAGTCCTGTTCTCAAAGGAGACTGTGACGTCGACGAGGATGATCTTTTTCTGGGCCTCGTCGGTGACTACCACGTCAGGTCGTAGCTGGCTGTCAGTACCGGCGATGGTGCAGTTCAAGGAGATCTCCCCCAGGCGTGGCGCGATGGCTTTCACCAGGCGGTTCTGGATGGCGTTGTGGCGCAGCTGCCAGGCTCTGGAGTGGGGTTTGCAGCTGCACAGGACGTGGGGCAGGGTCTCGTTGGGGTAGCCGCACTTCCTGCAACGCTTGTCTCGGTTCCTGTGGCGGACGGCTCCGTTGAGCGGGACGCAGTTGAGCCGGGCACGGGTGGATGAACCGCCAGTCGGCAAAACGGGTGAAGCCGCCCCCGGCAAGGAAGTGGTTGCTGGCGTCCCACTTGCTGGTCAACTCAAAGGCTTTACCCTGGTCCGGTTTACGCTTCAGGGTTTCCACGTACAGCGAGTGGATGGCGGCCTTCAGAGTCCTCTCCAGCAAGCCCCTGGCCGTCGGGGTAACGATGGTGTTGTCGTTGGACCTGATCTGCGGCACCCGGATTCCCAGCTCCTGGCGCTCCTCGCACCACTCCCAGCGGCAGCTGATGCGCTTCCCCAGGCGACGCGTGGCGTTGCGAGTGCGGGACCACAGTGAAGCGATGTCGCGCCCGTCCTGTCCGAATTCCCCATCCAGGGAGCTGCTCAGGAAGGTGGCGATTTCTTGGTTCGAGGGGGCTCTGCTGATCCACTTCTCTGTCACATCACGAAGGGCGTTGGCCGCAATGTTCCTCACCGTGGCGTCGGGACATGTCAGCAGGCGGAAGGCGTGGGTGATCACCGCGACGTCGCACAGATCACCCATGCAGGGGACGTTGGCACCGCCGTGCCTGTGGGCGATGTAGACCAGCTCGTTGCTGGCTCTCTGGGGAAGGAACAGCCACTTCTTCACCAGCTTCCGGATGATGTTGTCTGCCTTGTTGAGGGGCACCTTCGCCACGGCGGATCCCCTTAGGGTGAACGAGATGCGTGGGATCAGGAAGGTGTTCAGGGCGTTTATCTTCTGCCACGGTGCCAGCAGGGAGGCATCAATCTTGGCGGCGTCCTGCAAGACCTCCTGGATGGTGTCCTCGGGTGTCTGCCGGACACGGAACCCTGTTGGCGTCCCCAGGTGCTGGTATGCCTGCCTCTCTGCCAGGGGGATGACGGGCTCACCCTGGATCTGGAACCCCGTTGTCTGCACCGAGTCCCTTTTGCTGCCGTCAATGTGAAGAGTTGCGCACTTCTTTGCATTGAAGCGGAGCCCCATCCAGTCAGTTGCTCGGCTGGTGGCATCTAGCATACCTTGGAGGCTCTCTGGGTCGTCCGCGGTCAGGACCAGATCGTCCGCGTAGGCCAGAATGCTGAGTTTCTTGCCGTGCAGGTCAAAGCCGGTCGGGCCGCTGGAGATGGCTCGGATGAGCGGTTCCATGGCCAGGTTGAAGATGATGGGGCTAAGGGGGCATCCTTGTTTCACGCCACGGTGGATGGGGATGGCGTCCGTCTCTCCGTCCGTGGCGCGGATGGTGGTAGTGCAGTCCTTGTAGAGGTCCCGGATGAAGGTTTCTGGCATCCTGAACTCTCCCAGGGTGGCAAAGATGTGATGGTGGGGTATGGACCCAAAGGCGTTGATCAGGTCAAGCCATGCTACTGCGCACTGCCTCTTGGACCTCCTGGATGGCCGTCTGAAGGAGGAAGTTGTGCTCGTAGCATCCCTCGCAGGACATGAAACCCTTCTGCACTGAGCTGACAGCGCCCCTGCACACTGACCAGTCTGTGATCCTTGCCGCGAGACAGCTGGCATACAGACACAGTAAGCAATCCCATAAGACATGCAGTTCCCACTGCTGTCATCCCCTCCTCCAATTTGTCCTAGTGCCATTGTGCCTGAAATGTATCAAGACTTATTAGTAATCTGAAGGGCAAACAAAATCTCCTTTGCAAGTGGACCTTTAAATGCTGGAGAGATAATCTGTACAGCAGTTTGGTGTGTGAAAGAGGACATTACTGGACTCAAAAGACAGTATAGCCCAGCAGTTCTCAAACTGTGGGTCGGGATCCCAAAGTGGGTCACAACCCTGTTTTAATGGGGTCGCCAGGGCTGGCATTACACTTGCTGGGGCTCAGGGCCGAAGCCCAAGCCTAGGGTGACCAGATAGCAAGTGTAAAAAATCAGGGCGGGGGGGGGGGGGTAATAGGTGCCTATATAAGAAAAAGCCCTCAAAATCGGGACTGTCCCTATAAAATCGGGACATCTGGTCACCCTACCCAAGCCACACCACCCAGGGCCAAAGCCCTTGGGGCTTCAGCTTTGGATCCCCCGACCCGGCCACCCAGGCCTGAAGCCCTTGGGCTTCTGCTTTGCACCCCTCCCTCCACCCCCAGCCCAGGGTGGCAGGGCTTGGGTGGGCACAGGCTTCAGCACCTCTCCTGTGTCATGTAGTAATTTTTGTTGTCACAAGGGTGTTGTGGTGTAATGAAGCTTGAGAACCCCTGATATAGCCAAATGGCTACTAAAAAATACAGAGCAGCTGTATGGAAGTTTCTCCATATCCTCTTAAAACACCATCTTTCTCATAAGTGGTTCTTTGCCAGAGCTGATTTTGTCAGAACTGTACTCCATTTGTCCTTTTCCCAGCTCTTGTGAATAGATACTTGCCAGCTACAGCGAGGTCACTAGGGACCATCAGATATTGGGGTTCAAATAACGCCATGCCCTTATTCTTGGTCCTAAACAAAGTTTTATTTCAAACTGCCCAGAGAAGTAAACTCACGAGTGTCCCTGGAGTCTGCAACCCTAAGTTTAGACTCTCTAAGGACTTGTCTTCATTGTTAATAAAAGGTGCATTTTTTACCTCTGGATAACCAACAGTGTGAGCTATCCCAAGGTAAAAACACAGTAAAGACAAGACACTTCAGTTTTACTGTGAGGTAGGCACTATACCTCTGCTAAAAGGTCTTGTCTTCACTGTTTTTTTTACCTGGACATAACTCATGCAACATGAGTAAGGCTACGATTTAGTCACAGGTACTTTTAGTAAAAGTCATTGACAGCTCACGGGAAATGCCATGATTAAATCTTTGGGGAGGGGTGTGTGCTGGGGAAGTGAGAGGGGGCTGTTACTCGGGAGGCCGCTGCTGGGAGTGGCGACACTCGGGGCCAGCGGCACCAGCTGCCAGGGGCCGAGGACCACGGATGCTCCGGCCAGCCAGCCATGGACCGCTGCCTGGGGCCACGGCTGGTGTGGCTGTCTCAGGGGTCACCTGAGTAGCTGGCCCCAGAGCCAGCTGCTTGGGCAACCCTGGGGTCAGCCACACTGGCCCCTGCAGAAGTCATGGAGGTCGTGTAAAGTCAGACCCCCCTTTTCTCCCTTTAGTAGAGCCACAGCTCCAAGCACCACTGTAACTGTCTATAGAATAGATGAAAAACCAGTTGAGGGCACCACCCTATTAACACCTTCCATCATAACAATACCACATATCATCTCTGTCCATCCTCCCAATAGAATTCAACATACTGACACCCGAAGTGACTCATCTCCCAGAGAGAAAGAAGATAAATAATAATACTTTTTGGGAGGGCGGTAATGGGCGCATGAACCCATGGGGCTAGGGGCAAATGGAGGACCCCAGCGTGGGAGATGGGGTGAATGCAGTCATGGCAGTGGGAAATTGGGGGACCCCAGTATGGGGGAGAATGGGGGTGCATACAGTGTTTCTGGCATGGGGAAAAATACAGGAGACTGATATGTTGGGAGGCAAGAAAGGGGGCTCACATAGCCCCTAGCATGGGGGAACAACAGTGGGGAAAATGGTATGGAGGGAGGCGACCATTGGGGACACAGAGCTCATGGCAGGTGGTGGAGGTCAGAATGGGATGGCATGCAGAACCCCTGCCATGGGGGAAACAGGGGACACAGAGCTCCAGGAATGTGGTAGGGGGTGGGGAGAGTTGCAGGGAGTCCCTGAAATAGATGGAGATGGGAATGTGGCACACAGGGAGCATGTTGGGGAGAACAGAGGAATGCGGAATACGTAATGAGCTTGACCTACAGAAGCTATGAAATGTAGCTATGTAACCGAGGACTATACAGTTAAGAATTTTAAAAATCAATAGGGACAATGTAAAGTCAATGTCCCACTTTACAGGCAGACAATAAAAATTGCAGGGTGGGCAAGACATAACAGTTGCTCAACTCAGCAAATAAACCTGTGTTAGCATTCTCTACAAGCTGCAGGCAAAGGAGAAAACTTTATTGTAAGCCATGCTCACAGGGAACTACAATAATTGAGTCTCACAGTCACAAGACCACATGCTGTTGTGTGGTAGTCACTGGATAAATGAAGGTGTAACCTGCACATATTTCACAACTGAAAAAAATACTTTTCTGCCACATCTGACACATGTGTTTACCCTGGGAAAAGTGAGGTTGAAAGTGATGAAAGCAGAAAGAATCTCATAGAGCCACACTGAGGTGGAAAATGTGGCAGAATAATGCTGTTGCTTATGTATGGGTAATGGACTAAGATGTTCTGCAGTGCTATATAGTCAGCTGAATGAAGACCAGTCACAGTGCAAAACTTGTAGCTACTAAATTATAAAAAAGGTGCACAAGAAAAACTGAAAAGTCTATGAATTCGAATAAAAAAAGAAAGTAAAACTCAGGTTAATGGAGTACTAATACTTGGTATCGATAAGGAATCAGACATTTCCAAATAAATATGAAATACATGTTACAAAAATACACCTCTACCTTGATATAACGCTGTCCTCGGGAGCCAAAAAATCTTACCGCTTTATAGGTGAAACCGCATAATATCGAACTTGATTTGATCCACCGGAGTGCGCAGCCCCGCCCCCACGGAGCACTGCTTTACCGCGTTATATCCGAATTCGTGTTATATCGGGTCGCGTTATATCGGGGTAGAGGTGTAGTTAAAAGTTAATACATACTTTTTTGTAACCTCTTTATAATATTTTACTAGTGAATCAATGATATGCTGCAATATTTTTAACACAATGGTCCCATAATTTTTTTCTGTTAACCTGTGATAAATTATGTGTACTAGGGTAATGGAGGATCTCACACGGACATGAAAACATCCCAAACCTTCCTTTTACTTGGTTGCAGAAAATGCAATGAGGGCTTCAAAAACCTACTCAACCTTTACCGCCAGCATATCACTCTACTACACCCTTGTGCATACAAATGAGTGTTTTTCTGGCTTATGGCAAAAAATTTTAATTCATCTGAGCAGGACCAGTGTAACCACTAGGCAAACTAGGTGGCCGTCTAGGGTGCCAAGATGTGGGGGCGCCAAAAAGGGGTGCTCCAAAAAAAAATTTTACGCTATTGTTCCAGAACGGGGAAGTAACTTGCCTGAAGTCATCCAGTGAGTTGATGCCACGGTGGAGAATAGAAGCCAGATCCCGACTCCCAGCTGTGTGCTCTGATCCCCAAAACAGCCCTTTCCAGATCCATGGGGGGTGGGGGGGAACAGGAAGGACTCTAGCCACGTGCAGGAGACCCAAGGCCATTTATTTTCATTAAATATGTAGACTAAATACTGAAATTAATAAATTTTCAAGCCAAACGTGTATTAATTCTAATGAGCAATGCCATATTATGCAGTATTCATTTTTGAAAGTTTATAATAAGCGATGCTCCGTGGGGAGGAGGGGAGCGCAAGGTGGAAGTTTCGCCTAGGGTGCAAAATATCCTTGCACTGGCCCTGCATGTGAGCTTGATTAGCCAACCTCTCCCCATTTGGTGGTTCCCTTCTTCCACGTTTTTTCAAAATGACAACTCTCTTTCCTACCAACAGCAACTAGGTATGTTACCTCCTCTAAAATTGCTCTGTGGCCTGGCTAAAGGTGTATTCTTTAAGAGCCCCAATTCAGCACATGCTTAATTGCTTTGCTGAACTGGGGCTGGAAAGGGCATATTGCCCTTTAGCTCTCACTAGACACCAAGGATCCAATGTCTCCTAGATATGCCTCCATGTGTCCTCTTCTCCCACCGGCATCAGTGAGAGTTGGAACCGCTCAACTTGTCTCATGTAAAAAATGTAAAAAATCTCACAAAACTAGGTCCCAAGAATATCCCTGACTGCAATCAGACAAATGAACAAAAATTTGGGATTTGTGCAGGGCAGTGTAACGTTTTGTTCTGGATCAACCAGGGCAACACAGAGGATCACATTCACCTTATTCTTGTGCATAGTCCCAGTGACTTCACTCTAAGGTTAACTGCATTAGTAAAATGCTTCCTTCCTCTCTGTTTTATCAAAATAATGAGAACCTCAAACATATTCTAAAAGTTACAGTTACTATAATATGGACATATGTGAATACTTAAAATGTTAAACATGTAATTGCGGCAAACATCCCATCCCTCCAATATCTTCCACTCAAACAGTGTTTAGCATTTTAAAGCTGATCAACCATCATAACAGTTGCAGAAAGAGTACTATAGAATACAGTGTTAAAAGTGTTACACAAAACAGCCACATTCACTCTTCAGACAATTTGTGGGGACATTCTTGCATGTTTTCCGTACCTAATAAACAACACGGTCTCAGGATTACAGTGCATGCAATTATCACTAAAGGAAAATACACTCAGCTTTTCTGTGTCTGTAACATAACTTTTGAACACCGCATCCAATCAACTCCAGAATTTCAAGTACTGTTCTAGGCATCAATGATCAGAACCCTATTGATTTTGGTGAAAACTGAAAAAGCCATTAGCACTTAAAGAGTTGCTCTTCGCTCTCCCTGCAGAGAGCTGCCTTACAGCTGCAGGGCAAATGCTCAGACAGAAGGGGGAGGCAGAAGGAGAGGAAGGTGAGTCTTCCATCCTTTCTCCATGGCTACTTCTAAGGGCAGGTGAGCAGGTCAGTCACCCTGTGCACCAACTTCCAGGGGGCACCGAATTGCTGTGCCACTTGGCTTATTTTCCTCTCCTTTGCTCTGCCCTCTTTATTTTTTTAAGCTCGGCTGCTGTGGGAGGTATTTTCCTCCAGGCTAGCAAAATGGCTAGGGCCTCTCCTGGCTCTCTCCCACCTAGTACACGGCATCCCAAAGCCTGCTCCAAGTGGGGCAATGGGGAGACGGAGCGTGCATCTGCCCATCCCTTCTAATCCAGGGAGAGTGAAGGAAACTTCATTCCATCCTCCCTCCTAGTGCTGCTTCTCCAAAGTCTGCTCCACGGAGGGGGCACAGGGGGAAGAGATAGGAGAAAGAGCACCATCTATCCCCCCCTCCTTAATAATACAGTGAGAAGAAAGAACAGGAGTACTTGTGGCACCTTAGAGACTAACAAATTTATTTCAGCAGAAGTGAGCTGTAGCCCACGAAAGCTTATGCTGAAATAAATTTGTTAGTCTCTAAGGTGCCACAAGTACTCCTGTTCTTTTTGCGGATACAGACTAACACGGCTGCTACTTTGAAACCTGTCAGTGAGAAGAAAGGTACTTTGGAGGAGGAGAAAAAAAGAAGAGACGCAGAGCCCCAGCAACGTGGGGAAGGGAGGAGGGACTAGAGGACGTACCCCATACAGAGCCCCTGGCATGGGGGGAAGGAGGAATGGAAGGTTTTGCTATGAGGGGCGCACCCATCACCTTTAACCAAGTCTGCAATTCGTGGCAGCCATTAACACCTTCCTGTGGTCACAGCACAAGCTTAATTATTTACATAGCGTTTTTCCTGTTACCACCCCAAGCAAATTTTACTCCCATCCAAACCTCCTTGCAGCATTCCTCTCCCTCCCCAATATCTTTTCAGAAGACCAGAAGAGGCCACTTTCGATGGGCTTCTGTGGCGTCTGTTAGCAGAAACAAACTTTGCCCATTCTGTTCTAATGGGAAATTCATTACTGCTACAACTCTTCCAGCCTCCTCTTCCACAGCTACATTCCCATTCTGGGGGCATCCAAGCTAAGATTCTGCCTGAGATGCTCCTTAAACGTGAAAATCCATTTGCACTTAAAGTGAATAACAAACAGTGCTCGACCTACATGAGCAATAAAGTGCCACTCTCTAGTCTATACTAAATGCCTCTTCAATACCGATGTAGTAAATAGACTATAGTATTATGAAGACTGCACTACTGAAAATAAAAACAATGTGAAAATCCAGTGTCTCTGTTTATTTCTACCCTCTTCATGACTACAAAAGAGATCATATACAATTCTAAGAGCTTTGTCAAAGGCTCCTCACTGGAAAATAGAGAATTAACCACTTTGAAATGATTGTCAAGAGCAGCAAAGTTGACATTAGAAATTGCACTGTACTTAAAATTCATAAGCTGTTACTTCCAAATGTCACTAGTCAGGTTAAAAACTGACATCACAAACCTTAGAGTGAAATATCGGACCCTGAGTCACTATGTACAAAAGAACTACTCTTAAGAACAGGCAGAAATTCCCTTCAGTAGAGAAGGGGGTGGGGGAGCGGAACGTAACTACAGGAACATTGGAGTAATGAGCTGGTGCATGTTACTGAAATCACCTCTCTCATTTCAAGGTGTGTATGAAAGAATTAAGTAGATGTCATGCTAAAAGATTTAACATCCAGTTTGAGAACAAAATCAGAATAGACTAATTAGACTGTCCCAATATCAAGTATCGGGAATGCTAGCTGATCATTCACTTTCTATTGTTTACTGTCAAAGACGAAATACTATCGGTGTAGTACATTTGCAAACAAGTAAACTAAACTACCACACTGGCAGTATCATGTTGGAAGATAGCACAGAACACAGACTTGTTGCCATAGGCCTGGTCTATACTATAAGGTTAGGTCAATATAAGCTGCTTTGTACTGACCTAGCTGTGGAAGTGTCTTCACTTAAATTTGGCTCCTGCTGAGGTAAGTGCCTCTCTATGCCAATTTAGTAACACCAACTCCCCAAGCAGCATAGAATCACAGTTGATATAATTAGGTTGACACAGCGTTAGTACAGACACTGCGTTGCTTACTTTGACTGTTACTGGCTTTCGGGAGCCGTCACACAATGCCCCACACTGACAATGCAATTGATACAAGTACTTCTGGTGAGGAGGCACACTGTCAACACAAGGAGCCAAGTGTGCGCACAAACAAGCAATTTTATAATTGCAGTGGCTGTATGCCAACATAAAAGTTAGCTTGATATAATTTTGTGGTTGTGAAAAGAGTTTTTAACAGCAAAGTACCATGTAAATTGGCCATTACTGTACCTTCATGACATCTTTATAGGAATGAATGACCTCAACTTCCTCTTTTTCATCTTCATCTTCCTCCACGCCTTCATCCAGAGCCTCATAGCCTTCATCTTTACTCCCATCTACCTCCACGGTATTGGTCATGTGATCTATAAGCTGCTCCAAGGGAGGACTTAGTTCTCGCTCTTCATTCTCCTTCAAGCCATAGTCCAGAGCTTTATAAATAATAATCCCCAGTGATTCAATAATCTACAAGAAAGAAAGCAACATTATTATTACCATCACTTCGATGAACTAGTAGGCAAGTGTAAGAACACAAACATCCTTGAGCAATGAGTGATAAATTGTCCACTCTACAACTGCTGATTTAAGATTGTTATTATAGGATCATCCAAATTAAAGAGGGCAGTGACCCCTCCACATTGCATCACTGCCCTGCAAGTCAACATACAGCGCCTAATAGCAAAATATCTCATGCTACATTTTTTTATGTTAAAATTTGACAGGCAAAAACAAAATAATTTAAAAACAAAGTTGGACCATTTTGAATTTTTTTCCCCCTAAAAGTGTTTCAGCTCAAAATATATTTTTAGATATGTATAAAAATGTTTGGTATATGTATACACTCTTATCCTCCTTTTGTTTTGTTTTTTAAAAAAGGAACTTAAGAAAAGATGCCTCACTCCTTCCACAAGTGGTAGTGACTTGCACCACCTCATTGCCTCCAGGGATGACTGGCCATAGCTATGAGGATCTATTTGACTCAGAATCTAACTGAGCTCTGATCAAACCACTGAAACCGCTTACTTAGTGAAAACACAGAGCTCCCATATGGGAAAATCTAGTTATTCTTAGTAGTAGTAGTAATTTGGTAGCCCCTTGGGACCTCAACTGAGATCAGGGCCCTATTGTTTAATACAATGCCTACTATTATAGAATAAGAGACAGTCCCTGACCTTCTCAGTCTTTCCTAGTAATGAGAAATTGGCTTGAATTCTCAAAATGTCAAGTATACCTTTTCTTTCTTTACATTAATTATTATTTATACCAGAGGCAGTGGAGTACCTAGCACTTTACAGACCTTAAGGGAAAAAAGTCATACATAAGAGCTGATGGCTACTTTGGTATTATTTAAATCAGGGGTCTCAAACTCAGTTCACCTTAGGGCCAGGGCCAGTCCTCAAATCCTCCCAGCGAGCCAATAATGTCACTCATGCTACCCAGAACCTGCCCCCCCCCAAACTCCACCTTCCTCTGGGAGGAAGTTTGGGTGGGGGAGGTGGTCTGGGGTAGCGGATTGGGGTGCAGGGTGCAGGCTCTGAGAGGGAGTTTGGGTGGGGGAAGGGGTCTGGGGTGCAGGCTCGGATGAAGTTTGGGTGCTGGGTGCAGGCTCTGGGCTGTGGCAGGGAGTGGGGCTGCAGGCTCTGGGAGGGAGTTTGGGAGCGGGAGGGTGTGTGTGGGAAGGAATGCAGGCTCTGGGAGAGAGTTTGGGGGCGGGAGAGGATATGCGGGGACAGGGCCGGCTCCAGGCACCAGCCTGGCAAGCAGGTGCTTGGGACGGCCGCTCCGGAGAGGGGCGGCAGGTCCAGCTATTCGGCGACAGTCCCTCACTCCCGCTCGGAGCAAAGGACCTCCCGCCGAATTGGCGCCGCAGATCGCGATCACAGCTTTTTGGGGGGGGGGGGGGGGCCTGGGGGGGGCCAAACCCCGGGGGCGGGCCCGGGGGGGGGGGGGGGGGGGGGGGGGGAGAGCGCCCGGGGGTGGAAGGTGGGGCCAAGAGAGAGATCCGGCCCCAAAATTGCTGGAACCCCGCAGGCCACATTGGGGAGGTTCTCGGGACACAGATGGCCTGTGGGCTGGGAGTTTGAGACCCCTGATTTAAATGGTCAGGCTCCAGTGCAGGAGAACAGCAGCCCTGGAACAGAAGTTAGTAATGGAACTATTTCCAAAAGCAGATATTTTCAAATATTTCAATGCTGATAAGTAAATTTCATTCCCCCAATCTGGCATTCCACATAAATCTAGCTAAAAAAGCCTTTAAAAAAAAAAGTAGCAATGCTTAAACTTTTTTTAAGGTTTAATTTAAGCAACCTACTTATTTTACTACAGTAAAATATTTGAAAGAGGCCTTACTGTTATGGATTATAGTTTAGTAGGGGAATTCAAACAGTTTAATCATAATCACATCCAGACAGAAAATGTAACGCACCAGCAATGGACCAGCAATTTTATGCTTCGTTTCTCTAGTGAGACATGGGAATGCATTAGTAGAGAGCATCAAATTGTTAGACCTTTACGGGTGCAGAATTTAGTGGCAATTTGTACCATGATTAGTAAGTAATCCTTCCTGAAATGCAGAACTTTGCTATTTGTTTTTTTCCAATAAAACAAAAAATATTCCTCAACATAAAATGCATTGATAAACTGTCCATATTTCACAGTGAATAATTAAAACACCAGCACATTAAGGGCAAGAAAAAAAGTAGATTTATCCACCTAATATATTTATTATATTTTCCAATATTTTAACAATTATATGGAATAATACTGATTTTCCTACATTCTTCCATAGCAGCTTTAAAAAAGATACTTGATACTCTCATGAACATGTCTGGTTTGGCTTAGAAAACTACAAAGCAAACCTGCGCATCCCTATTTTGGAATGACTGTGAATGAGACATTCAAAGAAAGATCTTTGGGAAACTTTCATAATGAACATATAAAGACTGAAAATGTGAAACAATTGTAATAAAGCAAAGTACATTTTATAAGTATGGCTCCTTTCACTAAGGTCCTCAGTGTATCCTCAACATGTAATGCAGGGGTGGCCAAATTTACTGGCCCTACGAGCCACATACAACAATCATAGAATCATAGAATATCAGGGTTGGAAGGGACCTCAGGAGGTCATCTAGTCCAACCCCCTGCTCAAAGCAGGACCAATCCCCAGACAGATTTTTGCCCCAGATCCCTAAATGGCCCCCTCAAGGATTGAACTCACAACCCTGGGTTTAGCAGGCCAATGCTCAAACCACTGAGCTATCCCTCCCCCTTTTTCAGAAGTTCAAGAGCCCAGGCACACCTGCCAGGAGCCGAGACTTCAGCCCTGCTCCTGCTGAAGCCCGGAGCCCTGGCAGATGTGCCCCTCAGGGATGAAGCCCCAAGACCCCCCTTCCTCGCTGGGCAGAAGCCCCTACCGCACACCACCCTGCTGCAAGGCAGAGGTCCTGAGCTTCTCCGCCCCACCCCCAGTCTGGTAGGTGAAGAATGGGAGGGCATAGGGGTGAGCCGCACTTTAATGCTAAAAGAGCCACATGTGGCTCGCAAGCTACAGTTTGGCCACCTCTGATGTAATGCTTTAATAGCTGAAAGGCAACAATCTAAGAAGAGTTAAAACCACATTTGGAAGCACCCACCAGGCACACTTTAAAATCTATAACATTCAGCAAATTCAGTTACATCATTAGCAGAACCTCCATACACATTTTATACTGTCTTACGTACTTGCTGGACAGCACACAGAAATGCTTTTGATAGAATAGTTTAGTCTTGTTCAACAGGTGGAATCAAAGTGAAATGAAGAGTAGTTTAACAACTGCTTAAATATTTCTTAAATATCTGATGTGAATGCACAGTATAAATTTTGTCTAGCTTCATCAAAACAAAAATCTAAGACGTTTTATCTGTTCAATCCTTTCTTCCTGGTGTTAAATTTGATGTAAAAAAAAAGTATTTTTTGTGACAAGTCTTCAGGTCCAGGACCCAATCAGCACTTTTCTTGGAAAACACAGCAAAACAGGCTTAAAAGGGAAAGTTCTCTCTCTTTGGTTTGGAACAGGGATTAAGGCCTTCACAAGTACTACAGCTAAAATTCAATGACAGCTGCTGCTTTCTTTGATGTACCAACACTGTGCCTGTTCCAGTCCAGTAATATGGCTTCTGCATTATGTGCTAAGCATAGACTTCATAATACGTGCAGAGATGGCCTGACACAAAACCCTGAACAGAAACTATTCAGAACTACTTTCCTGCCTTTCAAATCCTTTATTTTGTCATACTTAGCAACATATCCATTTCCATTTCAGCTTCTTATGACACAGCAATGAACATTTTAACTGAGAAACTTTGCATTAACTACTTTGCTGCTGCTGCTGCTGAAAACATGTAATAGAACCATGTGACACTTTAACCAATGCTAATTTACCATGGAAGTTATAAAAACACAAATAAGTGCCTGCCATATGAACCAAACAAAACCTTTCAGATTTTTGTACATTCACAAAATAGCCAGTACGGAGACTTACAACAATTGGGAGAATATAATTCCAAAAGAAAGACAGAAAGATGCAAAGTGAGTCAGTACCAGTGTCCTTGAGATATATGTATAGAATGAAAAGCCTAATTTTACCTACATCAATGGAACTAATCTGATTTTGTTATATGTACGAGTTGGATTTAAGAATATTGTTTTATTGTTTATCTAATATCAATGTGTTCTATTTGTGTCTCTCTCTCACCCACACACAAACACACCTGCACACACACAAAATCTCTCCACTTGCCTTCACTAATGATCTAATATTTAAGCACAGTACGGAGTACAAGTTCAGCCTGTGGGAACAGCTTCTTTCCTGGTCTGAAGCCATGACTCTCAAAGGAACTTAATGTGAAGGTGTAAAGCACTATAATGTAAGCTCCCTAATTTATTTTTATAAAGTTATTCAGCTACTGGTTGACATGCAGAGAGCAAATCCTCTGCTAAAGTTTTGAAGCATCAAGAACTAATAAGTTCTAAAACTCTCGGGACAGGCCACAGAAAACGATGTGAGTTAGGCAAACACATCATTGTTTACTGTTGGCACTGGCAATTGTTTCAATGCAATGTAATTATTTCAGTGCTATCAATTTACAACTGCTTGGTTTAAAGTAAAATCTCCAAATGTTAAGGCCTTTGTGGGTTTTTCAGTCTATGAGCAAAGCTCTTTAAGGCTTTATAGATATATAGTCATTACATACAGTACTGAGCTTTCATATATATACTGGTTTAGGACACATCTAAAAGGTTTAACTGAAATGAATATGAACTTAAACATCTATGGTTCTTTCTTTTAGGAACTAGATCAGTATTTTTTTCAAACTGTTTACTTTTCAGACTTACTGGAACTGATGTGCAAACAGGCAGAGTCTGCATGCCATTCCCCTATACTCATCACATGCGAAATGGGGTAATGTCTGTAAACTCACCATCT